TCGAGCCGAAATAGCCCGTTACAGCGCCGTTAACACTAACTGCGCAACAGATCAATACCTCAGATAAGCGCAGATCAATGTAATTGCTGCCGCTATGATATGTTACTCGTGAGTGGAGGATTTTTAGCGAAGTTGACATCTAGCGACTGTTCACACATAATGAGGCGTGTGTCTCCCAGAGCACAACTTTGTCGCTGCTCTACTTGCTTTACGCAATAGCGAAAGTTAGAAGGCATATTATTATTTTTGTTCACCTAATTTTAGTATATTTACACATTGTTTCTAGAGGGCAGAGGCTCGGTTTTATAAGTTACGTGCAACAAATCAAAATGAGCATATAGTATAATTATGGCCTTTGCACTATTTTAAGTCCTTTTTAAGTGTAATTTATTCTCCGTTAAGCGGACAGCTTTCTTTTTTAAATGTGAATGGAGAGTACGGTAACCAGTTCTAGTGTAGGGTTAAAATCCTTCTTGAACACTGTAACGTTGTTTAGGCTCTAATAGTAAACGCCAGTCCCCATAGGACCAAGCCAAAATGGATGAACAGCCTTGAAAAGTGTGTACTTATATCATCGCAACGCGGTTAAATCAGGTGCTTGTCAATTTTAGGGCATGTGCAGCTATTAGTACTAGTATCATCTTAAAGCTTCTTCTTTAGTCTATCTTCTGAGGAAAAGAATACCCATCTCTCTTAAATATATTTACGATTGAAGGAGATGTGGGCCGCGTGGTTTCAGAGCTAAAATTTGCGAGAAAGGGGCCGCCAAAGTCTGGTGACTTCCAAGGCTTGAGTGTTCTTGGGAACTGCAGATTTATATGCCTTTAATCAACGTTTTTCAGGTAAATCCACACATAAATATGTTTAACTGGAAATAATAGGAGTCAAATTAAGCCAAAGACAAAAATTGGATAAAAATTTTCGCACCTGCAAAACATGTCGGTATTCTCAATTTTAATATTTTGACAAGCACCTGATTTCACCTCGATGCCTCACAATATTATATTATAATTAGACAATATACATCTATACATAATATATAAAGAGAGAAGGAGGAAGAAAAGAGCGAGAGAAAGAGAGCTAGTGAGCGAGAGAGCGAGAGCAAGATAGAGAGAGAGAAAGAGAGAGAGAAAGATAGATATATAGATAGATGGACAGACAGACAGACAGACAGACAGACAGAG